GCATTTGACATGTCTTTGTTGAATTGAAGAACGGCACCATCCTGGTGCGTCATGGCAGGTTTTCTTTCCTGAGGCTTAAGAATCATTGAGTTGAGCATGAAAGCAAAGTGAAGTAACACAATCAAATACATTCTAATGTGAGAAAAGCTATTTCAACTCTTATCACCCCCAGGCTCAGCCTCATAGACTTCCCTCCCTAAGGTTCTGCTAACAAACCAATCTGTCCAGCCCTTCCATCAGTAATCCACATGCCCTCTCTGAGTTTCAGTGCAAAGAGGGACTGGGTGGTGAACGCAGAATGGACTAGGACCACACTGGCATCTATACATAGATAGGACTATGGAGGACCCGGTACAATGATCTAAACTGACACCCAGTGAGCAACATCTTCAGAAACTGAGGTTCCTAGCCCAGTAGTCCGGGGTCTGAATGAAGAACTAACTTGAAGATGTTCTCAAACAGAGCAACCTCTAAGTCAGAGGTTAATGTTACTAAATCTGAAGGAGCAGCCAGTATTTGAAAGACCTGCCCAGAAGACTCTGATAATAAGAAAGTAGATGCCTGATAGATAAATGAGATGGTTGCTTATGTCTATCAAATGCAGTAATTATGCAATGCCTGGTGTGACCTGGTGATCTCAAGATGGGAGCTGATTAGAGAACAATAGCTTTAGTTGAGGGATTGAAGAATAAGCTAAGGGTAAATTATTTAATTGCACAACTGTGAGAGGGAGCATGGTTTTCTGTTTTATTTACTACTGTTAGAGTTTTTAACGGGAAGTAGACAACTCTTTACCTAGGGTGATTTGCTTTGTGTAGAAAGAAAAAGAGGGTGTGTCTCTGTTGGAAGAGTTCTAATACACAACTGACAATGAGTGATTATTACTACTTCAAACTACTGTTAGTTAGAGATGCAAGGATCAGGCTTATCAAGGGCATTTGAGGAGCTATTTCCACACTGCCTTCAGGGTCTATGTTAGCACCACTTTGAAATGTTTCCGTTGTTTCTCTGGATGAAGGAAAGGCATAAGCCATCATCCTGAGCTGCCCACCCAGCTGCCTCCTATTCATCAGCACTCCACAGTCCCTGCATCCTGTCAGTGGCTTTATTTGTAAGCATCTCTGGGATGCTTTAACTAACTTAGTCAGTCATCTCTTCAGCCAGCCAGGCTAGTGGCACATCAGGCCACTAAAGTGGATGTCTGTGTCCTATAGTGCAGCTTGAGATTTAGCTATAGCATCTGACACCGGGAGAGGAAGGTAGATTGGGTTCTTCACCCTCGTTTCTTTCTGCTCTCCAGGAAATGGCATGCTTAGTCAGATAATTCTTGCCTTTCTTCAGAAGGCAAGGGGAGTTGGTGGGAACTAGTGCACAACTTAAATTTTTTGTTTTGTTATTTTTTTTAAGATGGTGTCTTGTAGTCCTGGCTGACCTCAAACTCACAGAGATCCACCTGCCTCTGCCTCCATGTGGTTTTTAAAACTTTTCTCTTAAGATGTTGAAATAATCACTTCTATTCTTCTCTTCCTCTTCCCCTCTCTCCCTCTCTCCCTGTCTCCCTCTCTGTCTGTCTCTGTGTCTCTGTCTGTCTGTCTCTGCCTCTGTCTCTCTCTGTCACTCTCTCTCTATGTCTCTCTCTCTGTCTCTCTGTCTCTATCTCTCTGTCTCTCTCTCTCTCTTTTTCTCTCTCTCTCTCTTTCTTCCTGTCCCTCCCTGTCTCCCCAGGAAGGGTGTGTGTGTGTGTGTGTGTGTGTGTGTGTGTGTGTGTGTGTGTGTGTGTGGTGTAGTATTAACTGCTCACCTCTGTCACTCTGTCACTCTGCCTTGCTCTTTGGGGGCAGTTTAAACTTGGAACTCATTGGCTGGCAGTCAGCAAGCTAGAGACATCCTCCTGTCTCCACTCCCAGCCTCTTCCCAGAAGCTCTAGGGTTAGTAGTGAATGGGACTGTGCCTGGCTTTAATGGGGATGCCAGGGTCCATAATCCAGTCTTCACAACAGCACAGCAAGCACTCTTAAACATGCACTCATCTCTCCAGCCCAACACTGGATGTTCCAACACCCAGCTGCATACTGCTTTCTCTGGGAGTGTATTTTCCCTCTACAATGTAAACCTAGACCAAAGAGGAACTGATGGATCTACTCCACAGCCTTCGGGCTTCATCTTCACCTTCCCAAGCTTTCAGTAAAGCTTGAGTTATATTCTCCATCAAGATGCCCAATGATTGCCTTATTACTCATATCAGCAGAAGTCCACATATTTTAACCCACAGAGAGCAAGAGGACACCTTCTTCCACAGGACAAACACACTTTGTCAAAACTTAAACCACCTAAGAAGGGACTTTGAGAGCCCATCCCACATGAAGGGATACACTCTGGCCCTGGACACGTGGGGAAGGGCCCAGGCCCAGCACAGGAAGATTTAGTGGATTTTGCAGAGCCCCCGTTGAGGGCCCTACCCTGCATGGGGAGTGGTGGGTGGATGGGGTGGGGGGTAGGTTGAGGGTGGGTGAGGAGGAGGAGGGATGGGGGTGAGGGGAGGGAGAGGGAGAAGGGACTTACATGTGAAACAAGCTTGTTCCCTAACTTGAACTAATAAAAAATAATTTAAAAAAAAAAAACTTAAACCACGATGGCAAATACAAAGAAATTGGAATTCCGGGTACCCGGTTATAATTGTTTTATTTTGTGTATCCCTGTCCATTTGTAGAAATGGGGTTACTGGTGTGTTCCTATATCACAGGGTTGAAAAATCAGTGTCGTACCTACCTTACAAAACATTTTAAACAAGTGACAAATATAAAGCTTGTCTGTTTGAGGGTGACAGATATAGCCGATGTCGAGATGTGCCACCTGTTGCCTCCTTTGTACCTTGGGTGCACCTTGAGTTGGTGTGTCCAAGTTAGTTGTGGTACCAACTACATAGCTAACAGATAACATTCACACCCAGAATTTTCTATTTCGGTCTTCACATCAATAGCTTTACCTTAGGGGAGGGAAGACAATTCTAGTATGGTAAGGAAGTACCTGAAACCTCAAGGTAGCACCTACATAAATCACAATGGTCAGGGGCAGTAGCTACTGCCCCTTTTGTCAAAGAGAAGGATCACAGACCAAGTAGCAGCGGGGAGCCCTGGTATGCAGAAGTCATTTCACTCCATTGTATTAAAGGCATAGCCACTCAAAGTATTCCAAGTTTCCAACCCTTTTAAGTAAGCAGTTTCAGCTTGTCTCTAGACTTCCTTTCACACGAATGCAGCCCTTTGTACAATAAGTTGTGATCCCTTGATCTTGAGGATTTCATGGTTGACTGAACTTGAATCTTGCCACACTGTGTACTAAACATCCTGGGACAAGTATGTGTGGGAGACAGGGAAGAGAGTGGCCAGCTGTCCCAAAGTGAAAGTGGCAGAAAGGCTTACCTCTAGGCTGTCTGAAGGAAGAACGGGAATTTTCTGGGTGACACAGGCGGAATGGCCTGGGCAAAGGTTATTAAATGCAAGCACATTTAATAGGGGCCCCACACATATTAGCGTGAGTAGAGGAAAGGGGCAGAAGGCAGACAGTGAGAGATGGCATCAGAAAGGCTGGCAGGGATGGGAGGACCCTGAGAACCTCCCAATAAGGAGAACGTATTCCAACATAAGGGATGGGCAGCCACTGCAGAACTATAAAGGGGAGAGAGCACTGGACAGTGAGCAGCAGTGAGGCAGATAACACTGGAAGCAGAGAAAGATTGACAGCAACGAGACTGGTCAGGAGGCAATTGCTGGTAACAGCAGTTCCAGGGAATCCAATCCCTTCTTCCAGCCTCTACAGACAGCAGGCAGGCACATGGTACATATACATATGTGCAAGCCAAACACCCATATGCATAAAATAATAGCAAGCAAATATTTTTATTTTTTAAATCATTTTTATTTGAATTAGAAACAAGATTGTTTTACATGACAATCCCAGTTCCCTTCTCTCTCCCATCCTCCCCTACCACCACCCCCAACAAAAACCCTACCTATCACATACCCTTTCTTCTATTCTTTACCTGACTCAACCTTTCTGCTCCCTCATGACCTCTGCATCCTTACTCTTCTCCCCTTCTCATTATCATAGCTCCCTCCCTCTTCTTCCCATGCTCTCAATTAGCTCAGGGGATCTTGACCCTTTCCCCATCTCCAGGGGACAATGTTTGTCTCTTTTAGGGTCCTCCTTGTTTACTTGCTTCTCTGGCAGTGTGAATCGTAGGCTGGTAATCCTTTACTCTATGTCTAAAACCCACATATGAGTGAGTACATATCATGTTTGTCTTTTTGTGATTGGGCTACCTTGCTCAGGATGGTTTCTTCTAGTTCCATCCATTTTCCTGCAAATTTCAAGATTCCATTGTTTTTTTTTTTTTTTCTGCTGAGTAGTACTCCATTGTGTAAATGTACCACATTTTCTCTATCCATTCTTCGGTTGGGGGGCATCTAGGCTGCTTCCAGTTTCTGGCTATTAACAAATAGGCAAGCAATTATTTTTAAATAATATTTGCTTCAATTATTACAGCTCAAGACAGGTAAGCTTATAGATTAAGGGTAGAAAATCAAAATAGCAGGTATGAAATAAGCATTGCATATTAAGTCAGAACTTTTTTTACCTGACCCATGAAAAAAATACATTTGTTTATAACACCTATATACTCGAATGACTGATACAGACTTCTCAGCAATAATAACATTTAATGTGTGGCATGTTCTGGAAGCATGGTAGCACATGTCTTAATCTCACCACTGAAGAGGCAGAAGCAGGTGGATCTCTGTAAATTTGCAGCCAGCCTGGTCTAAAGAGCAAGTTCCAGGACAGCCATGACTATAGTGTGACTGTCTTTAAAAAAATTCATTAACTATATGTATCCCTTGTATCCATACATTTTAAGAAAACATAGGTTGATGTATCATCAAGTTTATGACACTCAGTACATGCTTAATCGTGCTTTGCTTGGATTTTTCCCACTAACTTAAGAGCTACAAGAAGCTGTTGAGGAGGTCCTGCCAACCCTGAAAAAGGATGGCGTGTCTGTCTTTTACACAAGCAGAACTTCTAACACAAATGGCGTGGACACACTACTGGACAAGGTGGATGGAGTGTCAGCAGAACCTACTCCGGAGTCATGGAGGTCTGAAGTCACTTTTAGCACACCTGCAGTGTACATTTATACTTCGGGTACCACAGGTAAGTAAGAGGAGATTTCTAAGGCACAGGCCTGTCCTGGAAGAGCTAACCACTGACCTGACCTTTTAAATATTCTATTTCCCTAGCAAAACTTATCAAATAACTAATACTTCAGGGGATTTAGATCTTAGCCCATGAAAACTGATCTTATTTTATCACACGTGATCTCATTTGCTTTTCCCCAGCTCTACACACCCCTACTCAGTTGCTGTAAAACATAAAAACAGTTAGCCAGTAACTACAGAAGTAGTTGAGATGATGGATAAAATTTGGCCCTGAATTGGCCGTTAGAAATTTTTAATGCTCGTTGTATTTTGACCCTTTTATATCTATAGTCCATCTGTAATATGTAATTGATATAAATGGGACATACCAAAGAACAACTATGGGGAGATATTTACATAAATGTCTGGGCTGATATTTCCCATACAGTATCAATGTAGAGTGAGTCTAGCACAGGGCCTAAAACACTGTGTGTCATCAAGTGTAGGACGCCTTCCCTGTGCACTAGCATGCTGTGAGCTGTTGAAGAATCACTGCAGTAGCTGCTACTTGGAACAAGCAATGTCCCATGTCACTGTAACCAGCTTTCGTCAAGGGACTCAAAGGCATTGCTCACTCAGCTCCCTCCTGTCCTTGCATCTCCCCCTTTCCTTGACTCGGAAACTTAGAAAGGCATTAAGGACTTCCCAGGACAAGAAGTAAAGTGTTAAGACTCACCTTGTGGGCCATCTCCAGGCTCATAAATTAAGATGGTAATACCCCATCCCCCCGCCTAATAATGTAATAAAAATTCAAAGTCTGCCTAGCAAAAGCCAGGGAAAGTATTACCAAAATGTAATAGGCTGAAGCAAAGGCAGGGAGCCAGCCCCACATGTTGATAATGATGATCGTTGTTATTATTGTGAGGAAATTAAATTATGAGTCGTGTACACATTCTCCTTGTAATTAATCAAAGGTTAAGGTTGAAGGTTCTGTTGAGCCTGTTATCTCAACACCAGCCCACAGAATCTCTGTCCTTTGCTCCAGCAGGCTCTCAGTCGCCATCCGATAGAGTGCAGTTGCTAGGCCCCAGTTTAGCATGAATGTAGGAAACCCTTCACACTGTTGTTTTCTTTTTTACTGAATATTTCCTTTAAATAAATGAGAATAAGAATAAGGGGGCTGGAGATGTGGCTCAGCCATTAAAGACTAGGCTCACCCAAAAATATAAGAATAAGAACAAGGGACGTCTACCTTCACTTCAGAAGAATAATACAATGCATAGATGAGATTGCAAACTTTGATTATAGTTGGGATGAAAGGAGCTTTTGACTAGTGATGGAGAAATCCAGTCCTAATACTGGAAAGTAGGGAACTTCTTCACAAAACATGTTTTGACAAGGAAATGGAAAACTTGTGTTCAGGGGTGTTTTCTAACACTCTGAAAATTAATTCCATAATTTGGCACTGATATTTAAACAGTAAGACTGGTGTTTATTTTATTGTTTTACCTATGGATGAAATATCTGCATATTACTCTTGTATAAAGTAATTAAATGAGACCATTTAAGTACTTAGAGACCAAAGGTTTCCTTCCCTATACAAAATTATGTAATTGTTACAAAATACTCTTCTTGATTGATTAGTACAAAATCTTAAATTAGGAAAGTTCTGAAAGCACCAAAGCTCAGAAGGTGAGTTTAAAAAAAAATGCAACTCTAGCCAGGCAGTGGTGGCCCATGTCTTTAATTCCTTGCACTGAGGCGGACCTCAGTGAGTTTGGGGCTAGCCTGATCTACAAAGTGAGTTCGAGAAAAGTCAGGACTGTTAGACAGACAAACCCTATCTTGAAAAACCATTTTTAAAAAATGCAACTCTGAACTTTTACTATTCAAATGATTCTTTTCTGTGGTAAATACAATTGATTTACTGATGGTTTTTCTTCTATTGCTTTTTTTTTTATTCTATGTCTGTCTCACATCATGTATCTTGATCCCATTCATTCCCCATCCCTTTGCATCTGCCCTCAGCCCCTGCATTGTCCCCCATTAAAACAAAATTCAAGAGAAAAAAAGGAATAAAATAAAATGAGAAAAATAAAAAGGGGAAGGAATTAAAAATCTTGTCATGGAAGCTGCGATGGTTTTTTCTATTTCTTAATGTTACTATAGAATGGAGCATTAGCATGAGTTCAGCGCCCTGCAGCACTGACAATGGAGATGAATTTGGAACTGTGTTTACAGTGATAGATGGCTTGCTGCCCACAGAACAAAGTGTTGCATGGGCAATGCCTGGGTTAGTGCAGATTCCTCAGGGACCTGCTTTCCTTGTCACAAAGAAGAGTTGCCTACTCGGGTCTTAAGCTCTAGCTGAGCCCCTAAGTTAGTGACTTCCTCCTCACCACTAGTCAGTCCTCCATGAGAAGCCATGAAAGCCTACTTTTAAAAGAAAGTCCTTTTTAATTGTGGAAATTATTATTAGGAAAATGCAAGTTTGCTTAGTTTAACACACTAAAACTACAGTAGAAACCATTCATACTTCTCGGATTGGCAAAAAGCCCAGTGTCTGAGCTTTCATTGGCAAGGCTATGAGGAAGCATTTTCATTTTTTACAGGCCAGAGAGTGAGTGGGTATCCCCTTTATAACTGGCAGTCTACTGTTTACAAACTCAGATTACAAATACATGTTTTTTAGCCTGTAACAACATTTATAGTGTGAATTGCCATGTGAACAAAGCAATTTATGATGGAATCGCTTGAAATAGAAAGATTATATAAACAAATAGTAACTTTTTCATATAACAAATATGAGGCAGCTAGGATAAGAAATAAATGGTTGGATACATGAGGGAAGTCTATAAATGTAGCTGCACAATATTTGTATTTTGAATGAAATTGACAAATATATCTCATTACAAAGGAAGGGATTAGTGGTCTGCACTATTGAGTCTCTCAAGCTTAGCTTCCGCATCTGTAAGTTAGACAATATAATTCGATTTACTCTTAAACTGAAATTTTTGAAAATGCCTTACCAAGCAGTGAGCCCAAGACAGGAACACATTCTCTTCAAACCATTGCTATGTCATCTGCCTGCCTCGGGACTCAACAAACTGTGCCTTGAGAACCAATACAGTCTCCAGGTGTTCTTAAAACATGGCCGCCATTAAGCCTGTATGTATGTGCATGGTTGCTTTCAGCACACTGGCAAATATGGGTCAGCACAACAATGACCATATGACCCCACAAAATCTAAAATATTTGCTTTTGGGTGTTTTTGAGAATTAAAATATATATATATATATATATACACCTGTAGTCTGACTGCTCCTCCTCCCCTACCCTACCTTCAAGCAATTCTTCCAGCATGATGAGAGGGAACTTTATATACAGATCTCTCTCCCACACTATGAATGGCCGGCCTAGCTCACTGATGCCTTCTCCTATGTCTTTGTAAAGGTCTCCCAAAAGCTGCAACCATCAATCACCAGCGCCTGTGGTATGGAACTGGCCTTTCCCTGGCGAGTGGGATTAAGGCCCATGATGTAATCTATACCACTATGCCTCTGTACCACAGTGCAGCACTTATGATTGGCCTCCACGGATGCATCGTGGCTGGTAAGTTCTGTTTCTCTCACCAGGCATCCAGAATTGACATGCATTCACATCTGCTCATAAAGAAAAGCAAATCTGGCTACATCTGGCTACTTGCCTGTCTACCAGAGACAGTATTCACTTTGGCATCGATTGCAATATAGGAGTCAGCATTATGTATCCCTTCAGGAGAGTTTATGTTGCTTTTACCCATAAAGGTTCAATCCCCTGTCGCCCTCTTTGAGAAAACTAGTCTCTATTCTTTCACTGAAATAAATGACTTTTCTCCCATGTGACGTTTTATTTTTATATAAACCTCTATTTATTTGAAATAAACTATATGGCACATATAATAACATATATACATATACATACATGTGTATATAATATGTACATGTTTGTGATTCTGAGCCCTGGTGGGATAGTGTTAAAGGCAAGGCCTTTGGAAGTGTTAGGCCGTGTCTGTGGAGCTTTTGAACATTGGATTGGTGCCCTGGTAAGCAGACAGAGTAGAGAATCTCCTCACTGACTCTGCCCTCCCCTTTTAAGCAGGCATGGAGAGATGATGGCCATTCCCAGACAAAAAGAATGCCCTTGCCAGACACTGGATTTGCTGATGCCTTGCTTTTGAACCTCATGGCCTCCAAAACTTGGAGAAGTTGTTGTTTTTAGTGTAAGCTAGCCCAGCCATGATCACTTTTTATAGCAGCTTGAACTAAAACTCATGGTCCAAGCATCTATTTCTTTCCCTCATCAACTGACTCATCAGCTCTGAACTACTTTGCCTGGCATCAGCCCTGTCCTTCAGGAGCAAAGCATGGCTGGGCATGGGTATATTACTGCATCTTCAAGAGCAGAGTGTTTCAGAGGTCTCCGAAGCAGACCGATAAGTACCTTCAGCACCACAATCACAGGCAAAAGGAGAGAAAAATATTTTTTAAGAGTCTCTTCTTGGTACTAGTCATTGGAATATTTAGGAGTAAAAGTAAGGGAACAACATGGAAAATAGGTATGGGATTCCTGTGGCTACTGCAATGTATTACCAGACTCTCAGTGGCTTCCAGCAACACGGGTTTGTTTTCTCACTGTTCTACGAGTCAGAAGCCCTAAAAACAGCAGTCTCTGGCTGGGCTGCTCTCCTTCCGCATGCTAAAGATATGGGTCCTGGTCTTCTCCACTGTTAGAGGCTGCCTGAATGCCTTGACTCATGGTCTTTCATCTTTAAGTCATACCCTCCAACTCCCCCCACCCCCGAGCCACCTTTATTTTCTCTCCTCTTTAGATAACTTTACAATTGGGTAAGGAGATAGTCTGGGAAAACTTTCTCACCTTCGGACCCTTAGCCTAGTCACATGCATTGCCACACAAGGTAATATGGTCATGGACTGTGGTGGTCTCTCTCTCTCTCTCTCTCTCTCTCTCTCTCTCTCTCTCTGCTTATCCCTCCCTTCCTCAGATCCTTCTTCCTCTCCTCCATCGAATAACCCTCATTTGGGCACCTGGATTGTATTAGAATGATTTCCCATGCTTCCTCCCCTCTTCCACAGATGGGAGGGTCACAAGGGTGAAAACAAGTCTCCATTATGCTTTGCATTAAATGTAAGAGGCACTCCACACCTGTTGGATTCCATTCATTTTTAAATTTCTCCAATCCTTCCCTGATGTGCTTTTTTTTTTTTTTTAATAGGGGCTACTCTTGCTCTTCGGAGCAAGTTTTCAGCCAGCCAGTTTTGGGACGACTGCAGGAAATACAATGCCACTGCCATCCAGTACATCGGTGAGCTGCTTCGGTACCTGTGCAACACGCCCCAGGTAACACTCCCTGTGTTTTAATATCTGTTCAAAAGTCGATGAGATGTTTGAGCGTCCTGGGATTGTGCCGGGCTTCTGCTGACACAGCTATCTCAGTTCTCAGTTTAGATGACAGCTGTCTGTTATGACGACACACTGAGGCACACTTAACATTTAGAAAGACTTTGATGGCGAACAGTGACTGCTAATTTTATTGCAGTTTTTATTCTCTGTCTTGTTACATGTTTTCACACCTTCCCCTTCCCAGGCCCTCCTCTTTCTTTCCTGCTTGTGAAAAGGTCATATGTTAACCTATTTGAGCCACTCCAGCAAAAGTCACTCATTCCTTCTCCTAGCTGTGTTTCTGGCTCTCTCTCTCTCTATCTCTCTCTCTCTCTCTCTCTCTCTCTCTTTGGTTTTTTGAGACAGGGTTTCTCTGTGTAGCTTTGGAGCCTATCCTGGTACTCGCTCTGGAGACCTCTGGCCTCGAACTCACAGTAATCCACCTGCCTCTGCCTCCCAAGTGCTGGGATTAAAGGCATGCACCACCAACGCCCGGTGCACTTGTGTTTCTTGCTTCCTGTCTTCCCTGGGCTCTGTAACTTTTTAATAGTTTTGTCTCCTCAACCTCCCTTACCCTCTCTTCCACCAAAGCTGTTTAGAAAACTTTTACTTGATGCTGTTTAATGGATAAATCTACTCCCAGCCTTGAAACAAGTAAATCAAATCTGTTTCAAGGTATCTCCAAGGGTCTTAGGTCTACCCTGCCTGGAGCTATCCAGAGACCTTGACAGGGTTGCTCACGAGAACTCCCGCTGTGCAGTCGCTGGTAGCTGCCTTGGGACCTGATCAGAGTTTCTTAACAGTACCACTGCTGTTGTTTGGAGCCTGCTAATTTTTGGCTGTGTGGACTTATTCTATGCCATCAAGACATTTAGTGGCTTCTCTGACCTTCATTCTTAAGATGTTTAGTGGCTTCCCATTCTGCCAGTCCATGACAATTACAATGTCTGTAGATATTGACAAATGTCCCCAAGCAGGCAAGTCTGACTAGATGGTACAGTACAATCCACCAGATTTTAATTCCTTTAAGCTATTCAATCAACAAACAAGCAAACTCAAAAGACCGCCGAGTTGATTAATCACTATTGGTAAGCGTCTGTTACATTCAACTTACATACCAGGTGCTATGTGGCAAGGAAAGAAGAAAAAGAGCCTCCCCTCCCCCACCAGACTTCCTCTCCTCATGCCACTCAGCCATCTGAGCCCAGGTGCCAGCTCACTGGGAGCCCCTCCTACCAATAATCCATCTTGCCCCTCCTGATCTCATGGCACTTATCACACCTTCTCACCAATCAGATTGTTGTCTGTCTTCCTTCCCCACAGTGAAATTCCATGCAAAGGCTTTATTCACTGCTCCTCAGCGTGGGGGTGAGAAACCAGCATCCCAGGCGCCAACAAATTTTGCTGACTGAACCTCTAAGTTCTTGCTCTGGGGAGGGAAAAAATGTTTACTTGAATTGAGGGAAGTAAATGTTTTTCTTCCAAAATGTTCAGGCTTGGCATACTTGTTGTAATTTTTTTTTTTGAACATTCAGCAGATGCATAAAGGTCATAACTATCTATGGGCTAAAGCAGAACCTTTTCCCTCACAGCGTTTCCTACATTAGTAACTCACCTGGTTCTCATGATGACATATCCATCTCTTATAACCTAGAAACATGCCTGGGGCCTTTCTGCTTGGCATTCCTTCTCTGCTGTAAAGGCATCTATCTGCCTTATCAATTAGAAGTCTCCTGGGAGATTGTGTTCTTCTGTTTGTTTTAAAGGTCTCCTTTAACTGGAGAAAATAAACACACTTGTGTGTCATGTTTATGCTCGTCAGCTGTAAACAGACACATGCTCGGATTGTCCCTCTTTTCTCTTAATGTTATCTCAAATGCTGGGAAACAATGATGGATCTTACACTTTCAAAATATACCGTATGCCCTGAGGTATAATCTGTGTCTAGGACTGGGTCTAGATGCTGTGGGTTGCCCCCGAGTGCTGCCTGTCTCCTTGTAAGAAAGTCTAAGGAATGAACCAAGTTATCTCAAAAAATCCCTCGGTGAAGAAATTTCACAAATCATGGGTCATTCTAGATGGCCCAAGTTCTGCACTTGGCGGGGAGGTTGGAAAAGGTCATCTTGGTACCTGTTTACATGTGAAAACACCACATGTACCAAAAATAATTAAAATAAAAGATAGAATTGAAAGAACTTCTCAGAAAAGAACTCTGGATCAATGTGGCCAGGACTGCCTTACCCTCAGAGCCACTGAGAATAATAAGCTGTCCTTAGAGAGCCTGACAACACCAGCAGCCAGAGAACTGACCAGGTAAACCAAATGGCTCTCTTCAGCATGGCTCATCGGGAGACCCTAGGGCCAGCACAGCAAAGTTGAGGCTGCTATGGCTGCCTTCTGTCTTCTTGACCATGTTCAGTTGCTTTTCTGGGAGAGCAGAGGACATGGAAGAGTGGGACCCCAGGAACAATTCTTCAGGTCACTGGCTCAGATTGGGCTCCCAGGGAAATACTACATCAGAGCAAGGACCCTGGAGTCTTCAGGCCCGTACCCTGCCTCGACCATTTGAGCGTTATAGTCAACCCTTCAAAACACCAGCTCCCCAGTGGCCAACGCTGACACAATACTACTTTTCCTTGTGTAGAGTCTGACTACAAAATGAGATTGTGAACAGAAAGCACGGAGTGAAGCATCTGTCTCTAGTAAATGTGTAACAGGTGACAACTATGACCATCATTATCATTGTTCTCTGAGCCTGCTAGTATGCATATGACAGTGAGTCTACCCCTCGTACACAGAAGAAACGAGAACTTCTTCTCTTAGCACATTAATCTGTCCCTCTCATCTGGCTTTTAAGGAGGCACAGGATAGCAAGGCTATTATTGACTGAAGTGGTTTTAAGGTTGTGTAGCTGGACCTTCTCTATCTATTCTGCCCATTTTCCTAGTAACATCTGGGTCTTGCCCTGCAGAGCACTCATTTATAATGAAAAGGTCACTCTGCATCATGTCTTCAGTGGGAAAGTTGGTCCCACTCCTGTGTTGTTTACGAAGTTGCCTAAAAATGGTATCCTTTAAGGGAAAACTATTTTTAAAAATTTCCCTGTTTATAGGTATTTATTTAATGTGTATGGGTGTTTTGCCTGTATGTATGTCTGTGCGTCACATGTATGCCTGATGACAGCAGAGGTCAGAATGGGAAGGTGGATCCCCTAGAGCTGGAGTTACAGATGGCTGTGAGCCATCATGCAAGTGCTGGGAACCAAACCTAGGTCCTCTACAATAACAGTTAGTGCTCCCTAAGGCAGAGCCATCCCTCCAACTCCCTCCTTTAGGAAAAAAAAAAAAAAAGTATATATTAATGCAAGATGTTGCTAAAGCTGAGTATTTTGGTCCTCTAGTCAGGAACTAAGTGATGGCAGAGGGTTCTAGATAAGATTTTGTGTATCTGCTGGGGTGTGGCCAAGGACAGCAAAGGGAAGAGTTCCAGGAGCCACAAGTAAAAGTCGAGGTGTTTGGAAGGGGAGTTGAGATGAGCAGAACACTGGTGGAGAGACTCGCCTTACCTCCCTAGAGATTTCTTCCCTTGCTCTTGGCATGTGATGAGCTCTCGGGTCTCTTCCAGCCTGAGATTTCCTTTCTGAATCACCTGAATTCTGGCAGAAACAGGCCAGACTGGTGTGTGCCAGCACTAGGTGCAAAGAAAACAGAGGCAAAGCCGAAGAAAGAAGGAAGAGAGGAGAATCAGGAAGGTTTGCCAGAGGCAATGAGCTATGACAGGTGCACAAAGTTCTCCCACCATGCGGAGAAAGGCAGCTTCTGGTTATCTGGAACAGAGTGGTGAAGCTGACTGTTAGAAATGCAAACGGCTCTGCAGGTGAGCTGAGCCTGTCGCCCATGAGGCAGGGAGAGGCTTCATTGTGCTTTATCTTAAATATGAACATGACAGATTGTGACTAGAGAGCCTCACATGGAAGGATGAGGTGGAAGATTGCACTTTTAGATAGGGTTTGGGGCTGCACTAAGGAGGGGTCACAGGAAGGAGAAAGGCCTCTTGCATGAAGGGAGTTTTTAATGGGTCTAAATAATAAAAACGCAGAGTCAGATATAAAAGAAAAGGCTGAGAAATCAGAGAGAAGAAGGAGCAAGCCAAAGCCACCTACCTCTACCTCGTTAGCTTCCTATGGGAAAAGAGAGCAAGTTCCTGTTTCTTCCCACTTATATCCTCTTTCTGATCAGCCATCTCCCTTCCTGTCTGTCTGTACAGGCCTCCAGACCTTCTATGGTTAGCTAGTAGCAAGCTCTATCCTCTGGTCTTCAGACAAGCTTTATTTGTACAAGCAAGATATCACCACAGCCTCCCTATGTACAACACAGTGGATGTTAAGAACATGGACTCAGGAGTTTTTGAAGATAATGACCTTTCACCTTTTGGATCTGACACAAAGACAAGAAAACCAAGGGGGAAAAAACACAGTTGCATTATCTAAAAAACCAAGAGAGGGCTGGACAGAGAATTATGTAGTTAAGACCATTTGGACCAGAGTTTGGTTCCCAGCATCCACGTAGTGGATCACAACCATCCATAACTCCAGTTCCATGGGTTCTGACATCTTCTTCTGGCCTCATCCATCACCAGGTATGCACTTGGTGCTCATACATATATGCAGGCAAAACACTCACACATATCAAATAAATAAATATTTTTTAAAGCTAAGAGATATTGCAACCTTGAACTACATAGTACAGAAATCTGAAAGATGGAGGGGACTCAAGAAAGGTAAAACCTAAGAGGCAAGTAACATGATAAAATTTAAGTGGAGAGAGATTCATTCTCTAAGAGCAGTTGCATTCTGACAGCAGCACCCCTGCAAGCAAGAAGACAATGCTGTGATGACTTCAGAATTGTAAACAAAAGTTATTGTCCATCTAGAATTCTATACCAAGCTGTATTATCAATCAATTTTACAATAGCAATATTTTCAAACTGGGCCGTGTTGCACAGGCCTGTAACCCAAGCTACTTGGGAGTAAAATTTGATGAATCAGGAGTTAGAAATGTAAGCATTAAAGTTAGAAAGGTGGAGAATAGAAAAAACACTAGGAGTTAGAAGTATCTGTCTCAAAGCAGCTAGCTAAGGGCAAAAGGTTGGGACAGAGAAACGGAATGAGCACAGTATGCTTCATTCAAAAGCCCTTTCAGTACGAATTGATTTTTATGCTGCATACTCTTTTTCTCTCTTTCTTTCACTTTATTCTTCTCTTCCTTCCTTTTTTTTTTTTAAAGACAGGACCTCGTGTATCCTAAGCTGGCCTCTGGCCTCACACTCTGTAAACAGCCTGAGGATGACATTGAACCTCTGATACTCCTGCCTCTTAAAAGTGCTGTCTGAAGACAGATAGATGTGTATTTGATTCTTGAAACAACTCTTTTGCTGTCTTTGTAACTCTGTGCTTTTTACTACATGCTTCCCAAGGCTCCTCAATTTCCCTCAATTGAAATATGAGATAAATACTTCCTGGCCTGTCTTGTCTGACTGGCTTTAGAAACTGCAGTAAGATGACCAGACCAAATGCGGATACATAGTCAAGCCCTCAGTGAAAATATTCTGCTTGCTTTAATTTTCTGGTTCTCTGCATTCCTCCCAGTACACTCTGACCTCTTACCTTTCTTTAGTCACTGAAACCCAGGTGTGTTTGCATGTCTCAGTTCAGCTCTGATGTAGAAGGCAAAATAGGGAAATGATGGAGAAAATGACCCACAAGACAATTCTTTAGGAAAATGGCTTTGGTGGTGAAGAAGTACCTTGTCCCCAGGGGAAGGAAGAGTGTGAGTCACACTTCACTCTCAGCTAACAAGCAAAAAGAAGTAAAAATTGGCTTCTTACAAGTTTCCAGACCTCATTTGTGTTCAGAAACATTTCTACCCTTCAAACCTCAATCCCTTCTGCCAGTGTAACAAGACCCTGTGAAAACTGAACCCACGGTATTATGATTATAAACCCAGCTACCCGCCACCCACAGGTGTCCTGCTGCACCTGTGAGGCTGGCCAGGTGCCCACTCACCTAGCACCTGCACCCTTAAGTCCTCTGCCTTGTGTGGAAGCCCCAGCCATGGGCTGCTGAGCATTCCCCGGTGGAGGTTACTTGTTTAACCACAGATTATGTATGTAAAACACAGGCCTAAGCCCTGTGGAGGATTCAGAGACAGGTTTGGTCTCCAAGGAGGATGCATTTGACAAAAGAGAGACACAGACAAGGCTATTAGACCAGGAAGTGAACAAAGTACATGGGTGGAGAACAGGGTGTGGGCAGCACATGTAACCAGCAGAAGGCCTTGAATTCACACGTGGAAAGGCCTCTGTGAAATGTCTCACCGGCCTGGGGATTGGTGAGCACCAAGATCAGGTGGCCCTTAAGTGAAAATAAGTATTTTTTCAAATATTGGAATGCTCAAGTCTCAGAGATTCCCATGAAAGGAGCAGGAAAGGAACTCTGGAAATCTGCCCGTCCTTTCTGAGGAGAATATTTTGGGGGCAGGAGAACCCTATAATTAATGATAACACCAGAACTGGCCCTGACAAACAGACTCACTCTCTACTGCCTGACAGGTCCTAGGTAATTGTGAAAGAAAACACAGTGACCTGTGAGATGATGAAGATATTATATCCCTCAGCAGTCAGATTGCCAGGGACTTACACAGGTTCAAAAACCCTCAGCTAACTTTGACTTGAGGACTCTGGCCCCTCTCCGTACATTCTCCTCAGAAAGATTGCTCAAGGGACCATCTTTCTTCAGTGACAATTTCTGTCTACCTCTCCAGCTAGAAAAGCCATGGTGACCTTCACCACCTAAGTCCTTTGACCAATCAAGCTACGTAAAAATCAAATCCATCCATACTGGCAGTTTCCTGAGCTTCTAGCTCCTTCTCCGTGGAACCAATTCAAAGTTTGTTTTGATTTGCCTTCTAGTTGCTCCAGCCTTTCCCCTTATAGGAAACCAGCAGTCTCCTCCCTCCTTTCTCTTCCTCTCTTCCCTCTCAACCCTTATCCCCAGGCTATATTCCAAAGTCCTTTCTCAGCCTAGGAAGTAAAGAAAGATCTGGACTAATGTTGTTGTTCTTCATTGGTTTATGGGAAATACCCTCCACCCTGCCCCATGTCAGCTGGGTTCCCAGTTTTCTTCACTGCCACATGAAAGCTGTTGCTTTACCAACAGAAACACCCAGAATCCTACTGGTACCCAAATATGTTCTTTTCTGAGAGTTTTCCATGAGCACATTCCTTCTGGAAATTCACTGGCACTCACCAGAGCCATAAGAAAACTATTGACATTTTGTACTGGATACAAATTAAATGTTGGCATTACCTGGTTCATCTGGTTGTTTCATCTTGCCTCAAATCAAAATGAAAAACTAACCTTTTTTAAATATTAAATCAGCACCCACCTGTGAGACTATGCCACTCATGTTGCAGAAAGAGGGAGTTATGTCTGTGAGTGATAGACTAAGATGAATTTGTAACAACACAAATATGAAATAAAATCAGGGCAACTACCAGCATAAATTAAATGCATAGAATCTGAATACAATGAATACATAAACCCCAGCTCTCAGAAATGTTAACGTTCTGTCTGCTTCCTGTCCCGTTACCACAGAAACCAAATGACCGTGACCACAAAGTGAAAATAGCCCTGGGAAATGGCTTACGGGGAGATGTGTGGAGAGAGTTCATCAAGCGATTTGGGGACATCCACATTTATGAGTTCTACGCTTCCACTGAAGGCAATATTGGATTCCTGAATTATCCAAGAAAAATTGGTGCTGTTGGAAGAGCCAACTACCTACAAAGAGTTAAGTACACTGAAAAATGAACTCAAGTGTAGCTGGCTTTCAGAATGGAGTCCTTGAACCATGCCCTATCAGTCTCACCAAGAGATACCTGCCCATTCTCTATGATGATGGCCTTTTTGAGGTCATCTCATACTCACAGCAACTCATTACTTTTAACGTTTGAAGCCTGTATGAAGTCACCCTCCCTTCATTCATACTTGTCCATGGGGGAGAAAACCCTGAAGGTTACCTTTCCGTAAATTTATTGTACACTGTGAAACAAAGTTTTCCCTTTAATTGAGGTGTGCATAAAAATCACAAAGGGAGTTTTTTATATATCTGGGTATAGGTTCCCAACTTCCTGGCTCTGGATCCAATTGTTCTGAGATAAGGCCCTTGGTGCTTTTAAAAACTTCCAAGTTAAGAGCAGCATCCCAGACCTTCAAGAGAACTGGGATGTTCTGGTAGACATGTGTGTTCTCCTCATAGGTCCACCAGAAAGATGTGTCTTATTTCTCTTCCCTCTCTCGGTTGTTTTATTAAATGCCCGGGGACCCTGAAGGTCTGTTTGCTTGGTGGTCAGCTAGTCATCCTAAGGATAACCAGTGGATACTGACACTCCATTGGCCTGAGCAGTGCTGTCATCACACCTCTAACAGGGAAATAGCAGAGCTCTGAGACAGCCTTTGTTCCCGGGGATTGACCAATGGAATAGTCCATATATATGAAGTGCTCTGTCTCTGAAGGGCAGACCCCAGTGCCACCATATCCTAGCTGAGTGGCCCCAGGAAGCTACTTACATCCCTTAGGCCTCAGTTTCAACATCTTAAAACAGTGATGAAAAGACTGAGTCCACCTTCTATCCCAAACTCAGTGTTCATAAGGGGAGAGACTTGCTGAGTTATTTATGCAAAGTTCCTGTTGTGTAATAATCTTGGGCATTAAGCCTTCCATTTCTTATACTCTGGTGTGAGCACAGGCATTCCCAAGTCCAAGGGCCCTCTCCAACCATGGCACCAAGCCCACGCTGTGCAGCTCACTCCCTGACCTCTAGACCCGTGCTGTCCAGTGTGGTAACTTCTAGCTATGTGTAAATATTTAAATGTCAATAAAGCAAACTTTTGGATTCAGTTCATCACTCATAGCAACAGCTTCCTTGCAAGTAACACCATTCTGAGCAGAGCAAGTGTTTGCACCACCATGAACAATCCTACCAAACCACACTGCTATAGGCCGGGATGTTAGTGTCAAGCCATCGTGAACTAGCCCAGCCATGGAGATCAAGGCTAAACACAAGCCAGCCGGCAGTGTTGCTACTATTGACCTCAGAAAGAGGATTTTAATGGAAATTTGTTTTCTACCAAGCTTTCACTTACACATGCACATATACACAACTAGCTCTTTACTTTCTCATCCTTTGGTTGTCATGTTTTTATTATCAGGTTTTCTACACTAAACAAATTTCTTTAAAAAGAAAAAGAAAGCCAGGTGGTGGTGGTGGTGGTGGTGGTGGTGGTGCACGCCTTTAATCTCAGTGCTCCAAAGCTACACACACACACACACACACACACACACACACACACCTCAGAAAAAAAAAAGTTTTTAAAGTATTAAGGTGTCCCAGCAGTTAATGTGGAAAGAAGCATTAACTACAACCACAAAAATATTGACATTATTATAAATTTCTTATAAATTAAATCAATGTACATTGTCCAAAAATACCACTTGGGGTTTTGTTTTGTTTTGTTTGAGACAAGGTATCTTTGTAGCTCTGGCTGTTCTTTAACTCATTATGTAGACCAGGCTGGCCCTCGAACTCAGAGATCAGCCAGCTTCTGCCTCCCAAGCACAGGACTAAAGGCGTGAACCACCACCACCCAGCACCACTTGATTTTAATGAAGTTGAATTTGAAGCTGGCATTGTAAACATGGCTAGCAGTTATATCTGGACACTTGTACTTGCTGATTTTCTTGAGTGGGGAAAATAATATGCTTATCATTATGATGGTATAATTCTTGCACCATCAACCTGTGTATTAAGATAGAGTTGGGGTATCTGTGCTTTAAGTTTGGTTTTAGTTTTGTAGGACAGGGATTGAACCCAAAGCCTTTCACATGCTAAACAAGCATTTACCACTAAGCTACAGCCCAGCCCTTTTAAAAACTTTTATAATAGGATAAACTCTTACTAAGGTTTGCCATACTAGCTCCAACTTGTGATCTTCCTGCTTCAGCACCCACACACACACACACACACACACACACACACACACACAATGTAGCTGGGGTTACAGGTATGTACCACCACGCCTAGCTATTATAGCCTTTAATAACTTTATAATCATGCCTGAAATAATTTTTGCTTTGATTCTTAAATATGATGAGTAACAAGTCCTGAGGATGAGGGTACCAGCCATCTGATGGTAACATATTAATACACTATCACATATGACTTTAAATCCATTTGTAATCTGTCCACCAAAAGATATGTATGATACTTTTCCTAATAATAGACAAAAATTAGAAATAATCCAAGTACCCATTAAAAATATACATTAACAGAATAAGGTGGTAAATAAAAAAGGGCTCTTCATCTCCAATAAGGTTGGAGATGAAGCTCAGAGGTGGGTCCCTTGTATAGCTTGTGCAAGTTCTGAGCTCTGTCTCTGGTACCATCGACAGCAATACCACTGAGAAGAGCAGCAATGTGGGCTAACGTTCACAGACATAGTCACTAAAATAAGACAGCAAGCTCTCACTTACTTATCAGATTTGAAATTAATAGGTAGTGATAAAAGTCAGAATGGTGGTTGACTACATAGAAGGGGCAGAGAGCAACTGTAAACGAAATGAAAGTAAAATGAAAATGTTTTCTATCTGGATCTGGGTGGTAATTACAGATGCAAAATTCCACCCATGCTTTGCACTGAAGATATGTGTGGTACATGTAATAAAGTAATCATAGGAAGACTGCAAAGCTCAGTTGACATACTCAAATGATATTTTTTAATTTTGGCAGAAAGTTGTAACATATGAGCTGATTAAATATGATGTGGAGAAAGACGAACCCGTCCGTGACGCAAATGGATATTGCATCAAAGTCCCTAAAGGTACTATGGACTTTTTGAGCAATTAACTGTACACAAAATTATCCTGACTAAGCAACATTTAAGAACTAACATAGTATTACCAGCTGTAAATTTTATTAAAATTAGTGGGGGGAAGATTTTTTTTTTTTTTTTTTGGTTTTTTCAGACAGGGTTTCTTTGTGGCATTGGAGGCTGTCCTGGAACTAGCTCTTGTAGACCAGGCTGGTCTCGAACTCACAGAGATCCGCCTGCCTCTGCCTCCCGAGTGGTGGGATTAAAGGCGTGTGCCACCACCGCCCAGCTGGGGGGAAGATTTTTTATTGACATATTCTAAAAATATATATAAATTACAGAAGGCATTGGCTTACCATAACACATAATTATTTTAAGCCAGTCCAACACCTTGCATGTAAGGTAATCTAGACAGCTATGGCTGGAAAGCTTTAGGCAGACCTTTTGTTTATGCTTTTACTCACTATGCATTTGTCTAGTTATGTATAGGAATCATTATTATGTAAAAGATTAGCAATAAGATAATTAATTACAGCTGGGTGGCCATGCAGACTATAAAGTTTAGAAATACGTGTCCGTGACATGTATGCACTCAGATATGGTCTGTGTCTGTTCCTTTTCTTGCTGCTGTGGTCAAACAACAACAGGAAGCATCATAGGCGAGGAAGCACTTGTCCTGGCTCATAGTTGAAAAGACATAGCCCTTCACGCTGCTGAAGGTGTAATGGCACGACTATAAGGCAGTCACATTGCATCTGCAGTAAGAAAGCAGAGAACAGACAGGAAATGGTATCCTACAGTGAGCCACTACGTCATACAGGGTCCACAGCCTTCCAAATAAGCATCACCAGCAGAGGATCAAGTTCAACACACAGGCCTATGGGGAGCATGCCACATTTAAACCACAGCGTGGTATATATGACTATGGATATAAAAAGTGATGCTTCCCACAGCAGGCTTCTTGTCCGCAGGTTGTCTGCCATCAGTTATAAGGCTCATGATAAAAATGTGCTCATCTCGTCACAAAAATAAATAACAATTTACTCTCTTCTGTGTCAGGTGAGGTCGGGCTCTTGATTTGCAAAATCACACAGCTTACACCGTTCAATGGCTATGCTGGAGGGAAATCTCAGACAGAGAAGAAAAAACTCCGGGATGTCTTTAAGAAAGGAGACCTCTATTTCAACAGTGGAGACCTCCTAATGATCGACCGGGAAAATTTCGTCTATTTTCATGACAGAGTTGGAGATACATTCCGGTTGGTTTCTCTGGATTATTAAGCCCAAAACAAATACATGCACACTTTGGCCTCTTCCTGAGTTGGAATCAGATGCCACTTTCCTGAGATGCTTCAGTTCCTCCTGTCTCTTGCATGCCATTTGTCTCCTTATTCTCCGGGAGAATAAGGAGTGAACTATGAAGCTTCTCTCTACAAATAAACGTAAAGGCAGGACGCCTCTTCCTTGTTTACAGAGCCCAAAGTCCATCCAGCTGTTCTGCATGTCCTACATATTTAGTGAATGCTCTTAGGATAGCAGGGATTTTCACATATTTCCAATCAGACAGCTTTTTGCTTTTAGATTAAAAACAAGTGCAAATTAATGTGAAGTTGATCTGGTTGAAGAGGTGTGAGATTCAGAGCCTTTTTCCCCCTCCCTTCCTTCTGTCCTCCATCTCTACCAAATGGCTTCTCACAAAATCCCCAGGCTAGCACAAGAACATGTGGAAGTCATTTGGTAAATGGTGACATGAATCTCCAACAATGGCTCAGTCCTCCAGCTCATGGCAGAAGCAGCCCACCTGTGTGAATTCCCTGAGATGGGAACTCCCCAGACAGCACTGAATTCAGTGTCTGATGCAAATCACTTTGTGTGAGTGACTCCAGAAATCACGAACCTTGGCTGACTGCAGTGAAAAGGTCAAGGCAGGGTGAGAGCCAGACCCAACACAGTTGTGGCCACTGGTACCTTTTTATTTTTTTTTTTTTTTTTTTTTTTTTTTTTTTGCTTACAAGAGCAACAGATTTTGTTTGGGAAGTGCCATAAGTTAATCAGCCTTTCACCCATCTCTTGAGAGTTTGTACGATCTTCAGCACTTACTCCATCCCGAATATTCTCTGGCCCTGGAATTTTATGCCACCCTCACTAAGAAGTTACTTCAGGAAGCTGGGGAGATGGCTAATGCAGTACTTGCCTGGCAAGCACCAGGACCAGAGTTCAGTCCTCAGAACCCACATTTACAAAGCTGGACTTGATGCTGCATATTTGTAATCTAACCCTAGGGAGGCAGAAACAGGCAGATCCCTGAGCCTGCTGGCCAGTCAGCCACCCTAGCAAACTTGTTGAGCTCCATGCTAGTGTAAGATATTGTCTTTTAATTTAAAAGAATGGACAGTGCCTGAAGACAAACACTCAAGGTTCTCCTCTGGCCTCTCCACACACATACACACATGCTTATGCACATTTACACAAAACATACACACACATGCATGCGTACATGAAGGCACACACACACACACACACACACACAGAGATACTTTTGAGAGACCTAAAGGACATTTTTATAAAACCCCTACTAATTAATTAAATTAAAAATAGCACCTGGCTAGGCCTTAACATTACAATCTTTATGTAATAAAAGTGTGACTTCTTTTTCTTTTTAACTAAAAGCTTTGCTATTGTGAGAACTGGAAATACAACTATGAAATTTTGCTAAATAGAAATTCATTAACTGAACTAAATAAGATGTTAAAGGGAAAAAAGTGTGAGACCTACACAAAGCTAAAAGAAGTTGAGATTTATTTCTAACATCCAGTAAATTTCTTAGCCAACTCTAGATTTCACATTTGCACACAATGATATCTGCTATGTTTTGTGTGACAAGAATGAAATTCCACATTCTATTATCTAGGGCTATACCCTTTTGACACCAACAGAATGCTACAAGTGAGCTGGGGGTTTTAGGGGACCAGTATGGGAATACCAGACACTTCACCAAGGTCTAAAAGAAACACTAGCTAGAAAGCAAGCATGGTCTCAGCTAATCCTTCCTTTTCTCCCAGGTGGAAAGGAGAGAACGTAGCTACCACTGAAGTCGCTGACATAGTAGGACTGGTTGATTTTGTTGAGGAAGTGAACGTCTATGGAGTGCCCGTGCCAGGTATGTAGAAGGCACCATGAATCTATATGACACATTCAGGCACTGAACAGAATCATAACAGCAGGCCAAAGTTTGTCTTGCTTTCTTCCACTGCCTGGAGAGTGAAGCCACTGTCAACCATCAGAGGTTAGGACGTTTCTCTCTGTTCTATACTCCACTGTCAAAGTAATTCAGTGCATCTGATGTTGGTATGCCTCTATGTTTTAGCTGCTGCTTAATTTAGGGTTCTTGGGCAAGGGAGGTTTCCTACTTTGCAGGTCTCTATTTAGCATACTGGGAGAGCTTGAGGGCTGCAAAGTGCTGTGTTGCCTCTGAAGTAGGTGCGAGTAGGAACAATTACAGTTTCTAGAAAGAAAACTGGGAAGAGGCAAATTTTGTTCAGCCTCTTCTTGTGCAAAAGCAGGTTCCTAAGACTAGACCAGACCCTGAATTTCAGAAACATCACAGAGTGGAGTCACTGAGGTGTCCACAGATCTGCCTCTGCCAGCAGGATGGGGAGAAGCCTGGCTCCAGGACCAGTTGGCGATTTCACAAGTCCCTCAAATTGGAAATAACACTTGCCTTACAGTTGAAATTGTCAGGATTAATTTATTTTAGTTTCATAAATACAAATATATTTGTCAAGTGTATACTAAAGTTGCCAGAAGTATCAGTCATTTTAATTGTAGATATTAGGATTAAATTCTCCAAGTCAATGCCCAAATATAAGGTGCCAAAATTCAGATGCCACCCAAATCCAATTTGGTGAACCAATGAGTTTTATTGGGGTTGATTATAGGAATATGGGGAAGAGGCTGCTTATAGGAGCAGAAATGACTCAAAGAGAGTTGCATCACCACAGCCCAGCCCAGCATGGTGACAGCATACCAAGCTGGAAACCTGGAGCACACTGCACAGCCTGCAGGCAGCTCAACAGGCTGGAGAGGGTCCTTTGCAAGTGCCTCGGTTTGTCTAAACCTCTTCCAGGTAGGCCAGCTGGCTTCTGCTTCTTCCAGGCAGATAGTCTGGTCTGAGAGTCTTTGTAGCTGGCTTGTATAAGAGTGACTCAACATTCTACTGCTTACTCTAGCAGGGCAGGGAGTTCCTGAGTCTACTGTAAGTTGGTTACTTTGCTACATTGATTATTTATTTTTGTGAAAGCTTTTTTATTTCCATGCAATTATATATTACATGTAGAGCATATCCTCCCTATATCCCATTTCTCCCTTTTCTCATCTGTCTGCCACCCAGATTTCTGTTTCCATGTCATATATGCACACATGAATATATATATATATATATATATATATATATATATATATATATATTCTAAGAAAAACAAATAAGGAAAAATACATGATATTTGCACTTTTGAAACTGATTTAATTCACTTAGCATAATTATCTACAGTTTTGCCCATCTCCCTACAGATGACCTAACCCCAGTCTTCAGTAGGGCTGAAAAACATTCCATTGTGCGTATATATCACATTTTCTTATTCACTTGGGCTGTTTTCATACCTTAGCTGTTGTGACTGTGCTATAATCACGCTGATGTGCAAGAATCTCTGGGATGAGATGGGGTCCTTTGGCTAAACACCCAGGAGTGGACTAGCTGGGTCACAAGTTAGATCTGCTCTTAGTTTTGCTCAGAAAGCCGCCATACTGATGTCCATAGTAGTTGGACTGATTTACATTCCCATCAGCCAAAGGGTGGGTATTTTTCTTGCCTGTTTCCCTATGATCGTTCCCTATGACAACAATGCTGTGATAGAAAGCATAGCCACGTCTCAGGGCACAGAGTCTTGACAATTGGTCTGGAAGGAAATGCAGCAGACCCCTCAGCTGAGGTAACCCAAGTGTCCAAGTCAGGGCTGTCAGAGACCATGATGCCCGAGGCTGTTATAGGCCCCTCTTAGAGTGGTGGGTATGCTTCTAAGCGCTAAATCTTAAAGTAGCTTTTCTTAAGTAGCTGAGAAAATCTGGAAGGTGGACTGAAAGCCCAGTATCCCAGTATCATAGCAGAGTCTCAGATAAGCAAAGTCATAAGACCAGAAAATTTGCTAAAACTGAAATGTGTCAGGTCTCCGCAGATCTGCTGAAAGGGCAGGCCCAGGAAGCAGTACTTTTTAAAATCTCTCTAGGGACTCTTAAAAACACTAGGTTAAGCCGGGCGTTGGTGGCACATGCCTTTAGTCCCAGCACTCGGGAGGCAGAGGCAAGTGGATCTCTGTGAGTTCGAGGCCAGCCTGGTCTCCAGAGCGAGTGCCAGGATAGGCTCCAAAGCTACACAGAGAAACCCTGTCTCGAAAAACCAAAGAAAATAGAAAATAAAAATAAATAAAAACACTAGGCTAGGGGTGCAGCTCGGTGGCAGAGTGCTTGCCCAGTGTGTGCTCACAGGCTCTGAGTTTGATCCCCAGCTCCTCCCCCCACAACACATACACACAAAATTCACATCTGATTCAGACACCGTGAAAATATCCTAAAATGTATGGTGATTGGACAACATTGTGAATGCACCACTAAAGTGGTGAAAATGATGAATTTCATATTTTACACAATTAAAAGAAATACAGGCATGATGGTGCACAACTGTGGTCTCAGCCCGAAATAGGCTGAAGCATTAGTCACGTCAAGGTCAGCCAGAGCTATGTAGTGAGTCCCAGACCAGCTGGACTATATAGTGAGATCCTATCTTTAAAAAAAAAGGAACAAACAACAATAAAAAATAAAAATCCACTGAAGTATGAAAGGCTCTGAAGCCTTTCTCAAAATGTGACCAATCTCCAGTCACCTGGGAAATCTGTAAATCTGCAAGTCCCAGAGCTAAGGCAGTAGAACTTCGAGAATTGGGATGTAGAACCTGCCAAGTCTGTCAGTTAGGATTGGCAGTCACTGCGTAGCAGAAGGAAGAGGTTCTCCCTGGACAGTCAGAACGAGGAGCAGCTTTGTTGAGTGTTGCTCAGTAGCCCACTGAAACGGTTTGAAATGCTCGGGAAGAGGACATCAACCTGGAACCCCCATAGCCAAAGGGATCAGCGGTCAAATGGGCTGCTTTCCAGAATTGGGTGGCCACCAGCTGGGCACATAAACGTGTAAAAAGATGCTGGTCCATCTTCCATCTGAGAATTCTGAATTCTCACAGCAGTGAAAGATTAGAGATGAACTCTACAGTCCCGCACAGCCCCATAATCTGTGTCACTCTCTTTGCCATCTGACATCCTAGCCATAGGAGACAGCTAACCTAAACCTGGAAACGCAGCAGGCCCTTCTCAAGTCAGGAATGCATGCATTGGAAATGACTGTGAGCCTCAGCTGTCACCTTTGCACCAGGGAAGAACATCTAGTTTGGGGCTTAGAATGGAGGCAGCTCACAAGAACAGTCCCGGTACTCTCTAGAACTTCCGGTTTTCAGTAAACCTTTCTGTGTTGATGAAAATATCCAGTGGAGTAGCCAACAGTCACAGCATGGCTGCTCAGTGCTTAAAATATTAGTGGTACAACTGAAAAATTAATTTTTCATGTCACGTAATTATAATTGATTCTTAGATTTAGGAACCGTATGTGGGCAGTGGGTGCTGCCTTAGACAATACAGCTCCCACGAATGGACCAGGTCTGATCTTTGGCCCTAACCTAAACCTTCTTCTGAGAACTGAATTATTCAAAGGCAACATCTAGGATTCAATGCAGTGGCCTGGGGCCTAACAGGCCCACCTTCCTCTGGGTCAGGCATTGTCGCTACCAAAGCAAGGAGTCAGAGAGCCAGGCAGTGCAGAATCTACCCGAGACACCAGCTTCCCCTAATTCTACTGTGGATGTTTGATTTCCTGGGGCAGGTATGAGGGACCCCTTTTTAAAAGGAGTCTGGTACCCTGCCCTCCTCCTTCAGGTCAGAGGAGAACTGAATGAGCAAGCACCTCTGTTTTAAATGTCCCTTTTTTTTTTTTTTGCCTTCTTTAGCGCAGTGGGTAAACACACCATCACCATGGGAGAGATTTCAAACGCTGGGGCCCAGGTGACCAAGGACGGCTCCTTCCTCTCTGATTACAGCTAAGTAGTTCAGGGAAGTGGACCCAGATTCCCCTGGGTGTGCTGGATCAGGTTGAAAATATATTAATACCTAATTACCACTGTCCTCACAAGCAAACAATAGTAATTGTTCCAATCACCTCTCCACTAACAGCCCTGCCATGGAGATCAGTTTTCTCTGTGCAGTGTACTCCCTTGAGAGAACTGGACATGAATGGAGGGACGCACAACAGCTCACCCCCAGGGCCTGTCTTCATCCTGCTGCCTGCCCCACACCTCTGAAATACAAGGAAGGAAAGCTGTTGGGAACTTTGAGTGAACAAATAAGTCTCAAAGGCAGTATTTGTGCCCACAGCACAACAGACCCAACATTGCAAACCCAGCTCAGTGATTCATGACAGTGGAGCAAGACTTTTTGCTGAAGCAAAAAAAATGAAACAGGGCAGGCGTTGGTGACAAATGACTTTAATCCCAGCACACCGGAGGCAGAGGCAAGCGGATCTCTGTGAGTTCGAGGCCAGCCAGGTCTACAAAGCTACACAGAGAAACCCTGTTTTGAAAAACATTTAAAAAAAATGAAACAGACAAACCAAAAGAAAAAAGAAAAAATGCTCTTTAGCTACCAGTTCGGTCATTGTCATCCTCAGCTCTGTGTAGCTCACTAAGAAGAGCAGTGATGGCCACAAGCACAAAAGTCAAAGCAGAGCTGCCGGGATTAGTCTCCAATGCTGCCTGGTCCCTGTTGTATGACCTTAGACAAGTTGTTATACGCCTTTAAATCTTAGCTTCTTCCTCCTTGAAATGGTGGGGTAACATCTGCCCTCTTCACAAGGTTGTTGCTGTGGTTAAATGAGAATACACCGAGTATAGGTCATGGTAACTATTAAAGAGTCTACATACATCTATTATTAGTTTTATTACTTAGCTATTAGTTAACATTTCCAGTAATCCTGCATTTATCATAGAATAATGTGGGCATATATGTTTGAAATAAAAAATAGAACTATTCAAAAGAAACGTAATGTTTATTGATGTCGAGGTCCATAGTTCTTTGACCTGGCAGAGCCTCGTGAATGAAATTACCAGCTAATGTTTTCTCACTCTTTTTTCCAGGTCATGAGGGTCGAATTGGGATGGCCTCAATCAAGATGAAAGAAAACTCTGAGTTCAACGGAAAGAAGCTCTTTCAGCACATCTCGGAGTACCTGCCGAACTACGCGAGGCCTCGGTTCCTGCGAATACAGGTGAGAAGACTGACCAAGTTCGGTTCTCTCCCAGGCACTTTCTTAGGGAACCACCGCCTCCTGCCATGGTGACTGCATTCACACATTTTTAGCACACTCACAGGACAGAGTTCAGGAAGAAATTCTGTAGTTCAGTAAGGACAAGAAAATACCAGAAATCCCATTCCAATCTCTTCCCCACTAAAATGACAGGCCAATTCGTTTACCTGTAGCCTTAGCAGACAACTAACAAAGTCAGTGTTTGATGAAGTGTCAAAGACACTTTTGAATAGAAATTATCTAACCCTCCTGTTTCGGGTTTCCTTTTCTTGTTTCCCGTGCTACAGCTAGCATGCAGCACCTTGCTCGTACCAGGCAAGCACTCTGCCACTGAGATACATCCACAGCCCTGTTGTTTCCAATTCTAAAGAACACAAAATCTGCTGAGGCCCTACCCCCTTTCTATAGGGGACATTTTAACTGAGCATCGTCAGTAACTTGGAAGTGTCAGACTGTCGCTGGAGTTGTCCAGTCCTCCCATTAAGTACCTTGAGCCCTGTGGTTATGTAACTGAAGACTTGACAAAGTCTTAGGGTCCTGGGTAGTGTTGAGTGGGTAAGGCTACTTCTGTTGATGTTCATAAAGGGCTGGCATTTGCTTTGCACATAGATGGTAAAGACAGAAACATGAAATATCTTCAGATGTGTCTCATAACATTAAAGGGAGTCTTTAGTCTAACCGACAGACAGACAGACTGGGAAAACAGAATCCCTTGTGTATAAATGACCCTTCTCCTGCTTCTGCCCTCAGCCAGGAGAGCCCACCTTACCGGTGTCCCCTCTACTCAGAGTCTGCACACTGTTGGCAGCTCTTCATTCCACATGGGGCTTCTAAGTCAGTGGTTCTTAACCTTCTTGTGACCCTTTGAGACAGCTCCTCATTGTTACTTCATAACTGTAATTTTGCTACTGTTATGAATCATAATGTATATAGGTGATGTGTAGGATATCTGATATTCAATCCCCTCACATAGGCCCCCCATGTAGAGCCTCTGCAAGTAGCAGTGGAAATACATATTCATCAGCTCTCGTGACAAAGGAAGGCAGCCAGCACACTGCCAATTTCCAACAACTCCACCCTAGCCCTTCATCCCACTGGAAGTACAACTGACGCATAGATTGTGTCTAATTTTTTTTTTCAGGATACCATTGAGATCACTGGAACTTTTAAACACCGCAAAGTGACCCTGATGGAAGAGGGCTTTAATCCCACAGTCATCAAAGATGCCTTGTATTTCATGGACGAAACAGCAAAAACATATGTACCCATGACTGAGGACATTTATAACGCCATAAGCAATAAATCTCTAAAGCTCTGAATATCCCATGTGACTAGCTCATAACATTTCCAGAAAGGAACTCAATAGACCTAGCACAGCCATTTGATATAATCCAACTTTAATTTGATTGAAGATTATAAGGTGCAATTTTTTTTAGGAAATTATTCACTAAAAGAGGGACAGTTTTTTTTAATTACACCTGAACTTTGCAAGTAAAAAGATTTAGAAACAATTATTTTCCAATGTGAGTCTGCCATTTGTCCTTGCAAACTAAGCTTTTTGGAGAAAGGGCCTTATTTTTTTAAATACATAATAAACTATATTAACACTAACATATGAAACATTGCTGTCTCTTGTGTTTCTTTCTCTATTCTAAGTGAAAATTCCACATCTGTTATTCCAAAACAGAGAGTGCCATTGGCCACAGGTGTCCTGCTCATCTTAGTAAAAAGTGACAAAGGGGAGGGAGGGTAGACCAGCAATAAACAACACAATGAGGGGCTGGAGAGGTGTCTCGGAGGTTAAGAGCACTGGCTGTTCTTCCAGTGGTCCTGGCTTCAATTCCAAGAAACCACATGGTGGCTCACAGCCATCTATAATGAGATGCGGTGCCCTCTTCTGGCCTGCAGGCATACATGCAGACAGAACATTGCATACAAAATAAACAAAAAAAAATATAAAAAACACACACACACACACACACACACACACACACACACACACACACACACACACAATGGGAATCCAGCTCCAGTCCCCTCCCATAATCATCCTAGCCACTGTATAGGCAGTAACCAAAGGTAGAAATGTCAGCTTGGTGCTTAAATGGGCTGTCCCGGTTACTTTTCTGCTGCTGGCCAAGACAACTCATAGAAGAAAGCATTTAATTTGGAGGCTCACAGTTCCAAAGGGTCTATAACCATCGTGTGGGAGCATGTCAGCAGGCCAGGCAGGCATGGTGCTGGAGCAGCAGCTGAGCGCTGACATCTGATCTATAAGCCTGAGGCAGAGAACTAACTAGGAAAGGAGTGAGCTTTTTGTCATTCTCACTCAAACCACCACTGGTGCCTAAGCCTGGTGTATCCAAGTTCTACACTTAAAATATGTTCAGTAAGTATTTTTCTGCTACATCAAGGGTTACAAGGACATTTGCCCTCAGGATTCATGTAGAAGCTGTAGGGAAGGAAGCATATCACCCGTGGAAGCAGCGAACATGGGGACAGCCGCTACTCAGCTTGTCATACAGAAATGTGGGTAGGATTCTGACAAACTCCTCTAGGTTACTCAGAAAACAAAATACAGACAGATTTTGAGGCAGGTTCTCACTGTGTAGCCCAAGTCATCCTTGGTTTTATCATCCACCTGCCTTAGTCCCCTGATTGCTGGGATCACAAGCATGCACCACTATGCCCAGCTAGAAATCCAGATCCTTTTGTTGTGATCACCCCCAATATTTTGAAACTTTGAAGCATCTCAAAAAAAAAAAAAAAAACCGTAATGATAGAAAAGCCTGGCTGTCCAAGGGCCGTCCCAGGCTCACACGTACCTGGGACCCTACATCTCTGACCGTCACAGCTGGGGCCTGTGGCAAATAAAGGAGTTGCACTGAGGAGGAAGGCAGCTCAGCATAGGGACAAAGAGCTCCTTAAAAAGCCCCAAACTCTCCTGGGCCAATGACTTCATATCTTTGGACAGACTAATGCTTAGGAGACTGACTGGAGAGTGGGATGAGTTTCCAACTGGGAGATGTAGGGTCATGGACCTGCCCTGACCCATGCTTTAGATTTAGATTACCCAGTTAAAAAGTAAGAGCTGATGTCCTCAGACCCTTGTTAGCTGAGCCTCCTCAGCCTCCCACTTCTCCCAGAATCCCCCACTCAGGCCAAGTACTACTCCACTGTGTGGACAGAGGTACCAGGTAATAACTTCAGTCTCTGGGTTTACATGGATAAGCCATTACTAATGAGAGAGAACCAGTTTTAAAGACTGGTCTTTGCCAGGCTGGTGAAACTCACAGAAACAGCTGACCTGAACAAGGGAAGCTCATGGACCCCAGTCTGATAGCTGGGAAACTAAGTTCAAACTTCAAGAGTCTGACACTGAGCAGTTCAGTTTAGGTATATTTAAGTACAGCACAATTTGGGGGCAAAAGTTTCTTGATATAACACAACCCCATGTGCATGATACAGCTTAAGTCATGACTACATCAAAACACTTTGTAAAAGTACGTGTGACATCTTCCATAAAGATGGGTTCTAGGGCTGGAGAGATGGCTCAGCCGTTAAAGGCTAGGCTCACAACCAAAAACAAAGATGAGTTCACATCTTAAGGATCTAATGTGGTCCCAGTCATACAGATAACACAAAGGTCACCAGGCTATTAACCACCTCTGCTCTCAGCCTTCTGGGTAGAAAACAGGTTAAATATCTCTCCCTTTGAAGAGACAGCCCTGCGTGGTTAACATTTCTGGTTTCCCTGGTGCTTATCTGTGAGCACAAGAATCTCTGTGCCTCCCACACCTATAGGGTCTACCTCACCCTCTTCAGGACTCAGGGAACACGGTGGAAGAAAGAGCAGAAAGAATGTAAAAGCCACGGTGAGGGATGGAATATGGTAGAACAGCCTTCCAGACATGATATGACCACTGCACCCATGAACATACACATATGTGTAAAATGGCATAATGAAACCAGTGTTATATGTAATTTACATACACTAACAAGAAGGGTTTTTTGGAAAAAAAATGTGTCCATAGAAATAGCGGCACTACCTTCATTTGAAAGCACAAGTGGGTGTTTTTAACTTAAGCTAATATTTATAACATCATTCAGTAGGTAGATGTTTGTAATCAGTATATAGATGGTTGCTACATAAACCCAGATAATGTGGGGATGAAACCAGGAAGTGCCAATTCTGAAATAGAAGCCAAAGCGAATCAGTATAGAAATGGAGATGATTTAATAAACATGTTTCTTGCCCCATGTCTATATTAAAGCACCTAGTGGGGGACTTATGAACTAGGAGGTGCTCTTAACACCACTGTGACCTAAGACTCTGGAAAAGCAGATCAGATCCTGAAGGACAGATGTCTGGAAAGACCCTGGAAGAAAGGTCAGAGTCTTCACCGTATGTTACAACTCTTTGTCAATAATTATCATGATGGCTGGTGGGCTGCATGGACTCTATCATGAGACACCTAACAAGAAAGGCAGTGTCACTCCCAGCATCCTGCACTGTTCTAAGGGAGGCTGATAGCCAACAGGGTTCTAGGGTAGCAGGCTTGGCTGCAGGCTTTTGGACATATAAAACATCAGATGGTGGTGCATGTGTGGTTAGTGCTGTGTTCCACTCACATTGTTAGCTTCCTTTGGCTCAGATTTCATGCACCATAAAGCTATAAGCTCCATGAACACAGAAGACTGTATATATCTCTCACCAGTGACTCATCTTCCTGTACACAGTAAGGCAGTAATTAAGTGTTGCCTGCTCTGTCGAGGAAGAGGGGCTCATTAAATGACCCACATCTCATACCTGAACACATAATCACCCAAGTCCTGGGCCCCACACACCACAGTTGGAATCAGCATCTCAATTTCAGTAGTCATACAAATGTGGAGAACAATTCAGATGGAGAAAGAGGCCCCTGGACAATGCATCTTTGTGCTCACCTAACGTAACTCAGATCCTCAGAGCTGAATTCTCATTCTGAGGCTCAACTCTTACAAATAAGTGGTTCAAAGTGCAGACCCGAGAAAGGCCAGCGTCAGGATGTACAGGATGTACCTTTTTCTTTTTTTTTTTTTTTTTTTTTAGATTAATTTTATATGTATCATGTTCTGCCTGCATGTATGCCTGTATGTCAGAAGAGGGCACCAGATCTCATGGCGGATGGCTGTGAGCCACCGGAATTGAACTCAGGACCTCTGTCAGAGCAGCCAGTGCTCCTAACCTCTGAACCATCACTCCAGCCCCATGTACCTGTTCTTCATTATGTTTATCTCTAAGATATCTGCAGGTGTGGTACACTATAGAAGAACTAAATGCAACCCTTTAAAGCATCTTGTCAAACCTCTCTGTTAAAAGGTCCTCATGGGAGAGGCTTCCTCTGGCAGCTGAGGGGAACAGATGCAGAGACCCACAGTCAAACACTAGGCAGAGCTGGGAGCTCAGGGAATCCTGAGGAAGACGGGGAGGAAGGATTGTCGGAGCCAGAGGGATCAAGAACATCACAAGAACATGGTCCACAGAATCATAGAGGCTCACAGAGACTGAATCAGCAACCATGGAGCCTTCATGGGTCTACACTAGGGTCTCTGCATACATGTTAGGTTGTGTAGTTTGGTGTTCTTCTGGGATTCCCAACAATGGGACAGGGGGTATCTCTGACCCTTTTGTCTGTTCTTGGGACCGTTTTCCTCCAACTGGGTTGTCTTGTCCAGCCTTGATATGAGGGTCTATGCCTAGTCTCATTGCATCTTATGTGGTGTTGATTGATATCCCTGGGAGGCCTGCTCTTTTCTGAAGGGAAACGGAGGGGCAGTGGGTCTGAGGGAGAGGTGAGATGGTGAGGGGGCTAAGAGAAGGGGAGAGAGAGGAAGCTGCAGAGTAGAAGGAGTCACAGTGCTCACTGACATTACTCCGCTGCCACTGAGAACCGGTGCACTGGAGAGAACACTGCAGACCAGTACTTCTGCACTGGCAGCACCAGCAGCACCTGGGAGCTTCTTAACACAAAGCTTCAGGTCCCACCCTAGACCCAGAGTCAAAGCCCTGGGAGTGGGCTCAGCAATGTCCAGCCCTCCTGTTGATTCATACCCAGGCTCAACCTAAGAAGCTCTGGCTCAGCAGGGTTCCCAAACTTGCCTGTGCCTTGAATTCATCAGGTAACACATTGACACCTTTCAGAAACTAGTGAGCTTAACAGTGGTCCCCCAAATTGATGTACATTAGTATCACCTGGGGTGTCTAACACACCCCAAAGCCCAGGGCCACTCCATAGCAACTAGCCCATCTAGGAATCAATCTTCTTTTAAGATATA